ATGAGGAGGAATGTAGCATCAGAATTGGAGGAAGACTCAACAAAAATTACACAACCTTCCTTGGTGAAATTGAGGAGGACCTGAGGCATTTGCTGCAGAAGGTCAAAGACTGTAATCTTCAGTATGAATTGAAGCTCAACATCAAGAAGACAAAGATTCTCACTATTGGGCCTAATGGCAGCATCTCAATAGACAGAGAAGAGACTGAGATTGTTAACAATTTCAGCTCGCTTGGTTCCACAATCAACACTTGGCACCAGCAATCCAGAAATCAAAAGACAATTTGCAATGGGAAAATCTGCTGTCAGGAACCTCTCCAGAGTACTTAAGAGCAACAATGTCTGTCTGGAGATTAAGGTGCGCCTGATCCAGGCCATGGTCTTTGCAATTGCTTGCTGTGTATCAGAGAGCTGGACAATGACTAAGGATGATAAAAAAGAATCAATGTCTTTGAGTTGTGGTGCTGGAGAAGAGTGTTGAATAAACTACGGATTGTCAAAAGAACAAACATGTCTGTACCGGAAAGAGTGAAACCAAGCTGCTCCTTGGAGTTTAAGATTTTGAAGCTCTGTCTAACATATTCAGGCATGTTGCCAGGAGGGACCAATCCTTGGAAAAGAATACCATGTTTGGGAAGATGGAGGGACAGCACAGGAGAGGAAGACCCTGGATGAGATGGATTGACTCAGTTATTGGGATAGTAGGAGTAGGTGTGTTGGAGACAGTGAGATTGGCTCAAGATATAGATCAGAGTTCAAAGCTAGAGTAGCAGGCAACTGGACAGCACATAATGACAAACAATAACTTTCTTTTGGGTTTCTAATTCCACGTTCTGAACATTCCTTTATAATATTTAGCTTTGTCTTCACAAGCCATCATTTGAAATCTCTTCAGTTCTCTACATCATGTCTTCCTTTGACTTTAGCTTCTCTGTGCCCTTGAGCACAGTTCAGAGTTTATTTTGACATCCACTTTGGTCTTTTCTTACATCCTTATCTTTTTAATAACTTTTTGCTTTCTTTATGTGTGATGTCCTTGATCTCTTCAGTAATGTTCAGTGTGTCGAATATATTGCTGAGATGGTCTCTAAACACAAGTGAGATATATTCAAGGTCAGTTTTGTTCTCTTAGATTTGTCTTATTTTTTTTTCACCTTGAACATGTATTATAGAAATTAATGATCTGGTCTGCCGTTGACCTCGGCTTTGTTGCAACAAACACTGAGCTTCTCCATCATCTCTTTCCACAGCCGGAGTCAATTTGATTCTTGTGTTTTCCATCCAGCAAAGTCTATATGTATGGTGGCCAGTCAGGGTTTTCTTTAAAAAATTAAATATGCACACCCATGTTTATTACGGCTTTGTTAGCAATAGCAAAGAGCTGGAAACAACTCAGGTGACCATCAACCAACAAATGGATAGAGAAGCTCTGATATATTCACACAATGGAATACTATGCAGCATTGAAAAACAAGGAACTCATGAAATATTATGCGAAATGGATGACCCTGGAGGACATTATGCTGAGTGAAATATCTCAGTCACAAAAGGACAAATATTGCATAGGGCCACTGTTGTAAAATGGGATTGACATCGGGGTTGAAGTAAGACAGAAAAAGAGGAGTACTGCACTGAAACAGATGAGAGAGAGAACTGTTTAAAAGGGAACATATGAATGGGTACTCTTGTCATTACAGAAGTCCAGCGTGAAGGCTGCAAAGTGGAGTGGACTTGGGGGGGGGAGGGGATTGTATAACAATGAAAGAGTTTTTCTTTTCAAGAAGAGTGAATTTGGGGAGAGGGTGTGGGTAGGGAGAAAAGTGCACAAATGAATGACTAGAAACCCTGTTTCTGTAAACTTCCTTTAAAATTAATTTAAAAAATTAAATAATGGATGAGTGAGGAAGTGCTGCAAATAAATAAACCCATGTGTGTTACTGAGCAAATGGGGCAAACTTATAAAAACATCTTAGCCATAATCAAACACCTTAAAGAGCTCCTGAGGTGTAGGGCCTGAGAGCTCAGGACCATAGTTATCATAACCATAAGTCATGTTAGTTGGCATTCCATATCTTAATTTGTTGAGTAAAGACTGGAGCTTTAAAAACTTTTGAGCAACATTTAAGTTGCAACTACTGGTCTCTCCTCATCTAGAGCAAAGAAGACTTAAGAAAATAAAAGCCTGTTAGTCCAAAGGACTAGTGGACCACAAGAATTTCCATCTTCACGGCCCCGGGTAGCACTCCTGACCACCCTGAAAGAGAAAGGATCCTGACAGAGTGAGAGGGGAATGTGAAGCAAACCTATTTAAAAAATCAAACTCAGGCTTATTGATCTGACAGAGGCCTTTAAAACCCATTAAACCTAGAACTGAAATCACGCCCATGTCTCAACTTTCAGACACATAATAGAGCACAAGGGGAAAATATATTTCTTTTAAAAATAAATCATGGAGTCACAGAGTTGGGTGGGTGGAAGGAAAGGGGTGAAAGAACTAAGAAAGAGCTAGTGGGGACTCAGAAAGCCAGGGTAATGGTGGAGCATAGATCAATGGTGATTAATTTTATGAAACTGCAATGCACAGGAATTATTATATGAAACTCAATGTGAATGAAGAAATGCATGAAACACAATGTAGACAATTTTTGTATGCAAATCACTATAAAGTTTTTCTTTGTTTTATTCATTGTTGTGCAATTTCTTCACACCCCAGCCTACCCTGCAATGCACCTCTTGTTCCAGATTGTTCTCATAAGTTGTTGTTGTTGTTGTTGTTATGTGCCGTCGAGTTGCTTGCGACTCCTAGCGACCCTATGTACAACAGCCCTAAATCCTGCTCTATGCTGTGCCAATCGCACTGCCTCTGACACACCCATCCCGATTACCCCAGTCACTGAATCAATGCACCTCATAGTCTTCCCCTCCTGCGCAGTTCCTCCACCCTCCCAAGCATGATGTCCTTCTCCAAGGACCTCTCCCATGCAAAATCATATATTCCTTTTTGAGAGTTCATCCCCCTCATCTGTTCTAAAAAAGATTGTTTTTAAAAAAATTACTCATTCAAGATCTAAAGAACAACATTTGCCCAGGAATCAATCTCAGAAGGCAGAAGGGATAAAAAAGAATGACGACCCGAGCAGGAAATAGAGTGACGATGTGGCCAGAGTGCTGTTAAAATGTGGGGATTGTAATCAGGGTCCTAAAATACGATGTGTGTGAACTGTTGACTAGAAAACCAATTTGCTGTACCAACTTTGATTCAAATAGTAAAAAGAAGGGACCACAATCAGGAAAAATAAAGAAAACCTTATGGAATATCTTAAGGAACATACTTATAGAACCTTATGGAACATACTCTGGTATCTGTAGATCCTAGAAGTCAGAATCCATTTGGTAGAACTGATTTCTTATCGGTGTTCTTTGTGGTCATTGAAAAATTTAACACTGACATCCATGTGACAATCCTGAGGACATGTGGTTTGAGGCCCCCAGCTGCTCCGTGGAGGATGGGCAATCTCTTCCAACGGGATTAACTGTCTCTGAAAACCTGCCCCAAGGGTCAGCTATGGGTTGGTTCTGACTCTATGGTAAGCAACAACAATAACAAAATGCTTCTCCTTTCTTTGAGCTCCTTGGCAAGTCTATGAAGTCTCCTTTAACAGCTAAGCAAACTGAGGCTCAGAGAAATAAAACAAAGATAAGGAGGTCACTGAGCGACCAGGAACATAACGGGCTCATCTCTAGGTTAACCAAGGCATCCTGTAGGAGTTCCTGAGCTATTGCACAACAACAAGCAAATTAGGTAATGCCATCCCTCAAGTCGGAGTTCCTCACTTCTGTCTCTTCTACAGAAAGGGGAAGCAAGCCTGAGTCAGGCTCCCCAAGGGTTTGGTTTTGTGGTGACAAAGCGGTATGTTCTGCTTTCACTTGGAAGTGCTTACTGGACAAAGCAGACACTACCAATGCCTGGGTCTCACACCTCAGGGTCCTTCAAAGCACAAGAGATACTGCAGTGGGCCTCAGAATACCCAAAGCCTCGGGAGGCTGGGAAAGATGCTCGTTGGACTGTGTGAAATGTTTCCCAATAAGGAGCCCTCCATCCTGAGAGCATGAGATCTGGCCACACTCTCACCTATTTAGAGATTCTGCCTTCTGGCTCTTTAAGAGCTTCTGGCCATGGGCTGCTGCAGGGCCTGGGGGTAGATTCCTGCACTCACATGTGTGTAAGCATCTGCACTGGGTGCCTTGTCAGCCTGCATGCACCTGCAGACTGAGCGTGTCTGGATTCCGGCACCTGTAATGCCATGTGGTTTCCTCTTGGTGACTGACTTGGTGAGCACTGTTCTCCCTCGCTGGGGTCCCAAGAGGAGTCTGAAGAGCCTTTGACAGTGGACAGTCCAGACTTCTAAACTGGAATCAGGAAGCCCCCAACTCCCCAGCTTGCCCTATAGTATGGCTGAAAGGTTGGACCTAGGAACCCAAGTCCCAGAAGAGGCAAGAAACTGAGGGACACATATTCATCCTCCCTCTCATGGCTTCCCTTGCCCCCCATTTTCCTCCCTCCCCTCACCC